ATTGCCTGTAATAGCCGAGAAACCAAACAAAAAAATATTTCTGACAAAATAAAGAAATTTCATAGTATCATAGCTCTTATACATAATAGTAAAAGACATAAATTAATGGTACAACAAAAGTGATCTACCTTTATTGATACAATCTCTTTATATATACAAAGAATGAAACTATACAAAGAGACTAACTAGTAAATAAGACTAACTAAAAAATATACAAATTAAGTACATGATTACAAGAGCTTATTAAGTAATATAATCTGCCAAAATTATAGAATTAACATCACCACAATTATAGCTAATTATGTTGACATTTACAAGGTCATATCTCTAAAGATATTTTCATAATACAACCACCAGGTTTTCTTGATCACGATGATCCTACACATGTCTGTAACAAGGCTATATATGGCCTTAAACAAGCACCACATGCTTGGTACAATGAGCTAAGATAATTTTTTATAGCTTTGAGGTTTACAAACTCTCATGCAGACACATCACTCTTTATCCTCAACACCAATCATGCTCTACTCTATTTTCTTGTGTATGTTGACGACATAATCATTACTGGAAGCAATACCATTGTAGTTCAACAATTTATTGATCTTTTTGGCAAAAGATTTTCCATCAAACTTGTATTTAGTGACACTTAATTATCATCATAATTTTCTAACACGATATACATAATAACCAGTTACAAATAGATTTTTTTTAAAAATACTAAATTTACATAGAATATTTTCAATATGAAGGGAAAAATCATGAAATCGAAATTTAGATTATAAATCTATTATATCAAATTAATGAGTACTAAAGGTTGTCTTTAGTAAAAGTTAGAGTCAAGTTCAACAAATTACACCAACTAAACTATATTCTTTCAACAACCACATAAGTACTCAATTGTCCAATAGAAAAGAGTTTTGAATAATTTGATGATGAGAACTGAATTTGTTTTGAACAAACTGTTTTTAACAATTCGATGATGAAAATAAAAAATTCAATGGTCAAAGTTAAGAGTTAAATGTCTACTACAATTCTATAAAAATCAACTCAATCCAACAATAGGTGACTTCAGAATCATTTCTACAAAATTAAAACTTCAAATTATCTTTCATTTTTTTTCCTCTTTTCTCAATAAAATGGTTGTTGTAGACTCAGTTTTTAAAATTACATAGAGGTGTCTTTTAAACTCTAAAGTCAAATCTTGATAATTACCAAAATTTCATTAATGAAATTGTATTTAGCTTCTAACTTTAAACTATAATAAAAAAAAAACTAAAAAAAAAAATCACATACTAAAACACATAAATCATCATCCATACAGGAGTGATATCCCCCAACAAAGTGTACCTAATACTTTTGATCTTTTTATTTTATAATTTTTTAATAAAAATTAAATTAAGCCAAACAAATTTTTTAAAAAAAATTAACTCATTTTTACTCCAAAACATCTAAGAATTACTATGCCTACATGGAGCTTAGCTCAAATATTTACTATGAACAAGTTATCTGGTAGAAATCTTTAATAATGTCCTTCTTTGAGACACCAAAAGGAAATGATTTTGTATTAAATATGTTATCTACTATTTTAAAATAAGAGAATAAATAAATGTTATCAATTCAAAATGATCACAGTAGCAAGTTGTCTGCTAACATGTTCCTATCCACTACGTTCGAAGGAGATAATTGGATAAGATTAAAATGTTGTACGCAAGTATGAGTCAAAAAACTACATATGCAACATGTATAAATTAGTTATAGGTAAATACTATGTTTGTCAAATATTCGTTTTGTAGCTACATTTATTCTATTTCGTTTAGATACATTTTTTAATATTTAGTAGCAGGTTGTCTGCTAACATGTTCCTATCCATTACGTTTGGATAAGATTAAAATGTTGTACCGCAAGTATGAGTCAAAAAACTACATATGCAACATGTATAAATTAGGTATAGGTAAATACTATGTTTGTCAAATATTCATTTTGTAGCTACATTTATTCTGTTTTGTTTAGATACATTTTTTAATATATATATATATATATATATTAGAGTGCTAGGATTAAATGATGACTTAAATATTTTTTTATTAAATTTTCTTTGACTTTTAAATTTATGCCATTATTTTACTTTATGTTAATTTAGTTTATTTATTAAATATTAAATGAATAGTCCTTAATTTTTTCTGAATAAACTTGTAAATGAGGTAAGTAATAGGGATAAATAGAGACGGATATAAATTGGGTGTCTTTGCTCTGTTTGAAAATGTATGTACCCTTTTCCACCTCGTATTAGGAGGGGTTAACAAATTCTGTAACCATTACCTACCTTATGGGTACTTATTTTTATTTGCTATCTGCCCCAATTACACGCAGTCACTTATTTATCATTTCTTCAACCCACCTGCTATTAACATATTTTTTTATTTCAAATGATATTATAAAAATATCAAATAAATAATTAAAGCTAAATAAAAATATTAAACATTAATAAAAATAAAATATAATTTACAATAATATTCCGACATAGTGAAAATTAAAAGAACAAACGTAAAACAACATTGTAAAAATAAAATATTTATATATTTAAACTAATTATTATTTATATAAAATAAAAGTTAATAATATAAATTTAACATTACTATGTAACTACATGTAGATAAGGATGGAAACAGAGAGTATACCATTTAAACTTGTATTCGTTTTGTATTTATTTTAGATTTTTGACTTTTTTTTTTATTTTTTTATTTTATGTTACCTATTAAATGTAAATTTTTATTCACTGTATCCAAAATTAGCAGGTAACTCAATCTCGTGCCAAATTTACCCGCATATGGAGTGGAGTACTCACTATAGAAGGGATACAAATATCAATTTTATTAGACTATAAAAGTGAGGTGGATATAAACATAAATTTTTATTGAAGGAGACAAATATGAGGTAGGCTTGACCGCGGGTTGGCTGTAACTAACATACACCATTATTAAATTCTAAATTAATTTTTTCAAGTGTAAGCATCCCTCAACCTGCACTTCCATTTCTCAAGCTACGTCTCACTCTAATCTCTTCTTTCTCATTCGTTAGTTGTTGATAGGAGATTATTAATCAATCATTCGTTATGAAACCACCTCATAGAATCATTCTCATCAAGTCGGTTGGTTATTTTCAATTATTTTTATAATAAAATTAGTTCAATTTAAACTATACTCTAAATAATATACGAAAAAAATAAATAAATAAATAAAATTTATCTCTTAAAATAAATATCATAAATTCAAATCTCTTTTTGTGCATGAATATATATTATATATTATATTTATATCAATTCTATTAATATATTAATAAATTAAATTTTTATTTATATTAAATGAAATATTATATTTCAGTATTGTCAATTTATAAAATAAATTTTACATATTTAGTGAGATTTAAATTCTTGATCTTGACCTTAAAGTAGAATACGAGAATCTTAACAATTAAGAAAAGAAAAAAATTATTCCTTTGTTTGTTTTTTCACAAATTATATTAACTTCTGCCCTACTTTGTAATCTTTACAACATTCCCATAATGGATGAATTTCTGCATGTGGATAAGCGTAGTGTACCGAAATTGTGTAGTCTCTTTCCCCCTTTTTTAACCTAAACAACAATATTTAACTATATGATCCAATGACCATTAATCCCTGCTAATTTAGTGCCCTAGTATGTTAATTAAGCTGTGACCCTTCGCCATTACAAGTCAATATCCATCATCTATAAATGCAAAAAAAATAAACTACCTCGTTTAAGAGATTTTTCTTTTATTATAATTAATTCCAGCTAAAAATTACTCCTACATATGTATACACTTGGTGGATCAATTAATAGCAAGTACAAGTCCATAGAATCATATCCATACAAATTGAAAATTTACCTTGTCAACACATTTTGGTTGGTTGATTTATACAATATATGCTTAAGACTACTAGATTTACCTGTTAGAGAATTAAAAGAAAGATTTTGTACATACTCAGGAATTAAAGCAACAAGAAGAGGGACCTTAATTCTCATACATATTTATCTACTCCAAGAACTGCAAGTTTGCTTAAGCAAGATTAGGTTATTATGGCTAAACATATATTCGTTATGACCCAGAATGAATGTCTTGATCTATTTCCTGATTTAGCTCATGATTACATTGTCGGTTTGATGGCTAAACATGGTTACATTTACACAATGATGTAGAGAAAGTATTTTATATAATAGATACATAAATGCTAATGTTCAAAATTGTTAGCAATATGATTGCAACAGCAGAAAGATAATTAATTGATCATAGGGATTTAGGCAGAGACACGAGGAGCCCAAGATGTTAGCCTTCCAACTTACCCATCCTAACTTCAATTTATATACTTATTAAAAATATATATATGTAAAAGAAACACAAGCATACATGGCTTTAACTTTACTCCTACTCAATCATCCATAAAAAAATCACTCAACATCTCACATACTTCTCTCATAATTCTTAGTCTTTAATCCTAAGGTCATCAAGCTGATCATCCTCTTCTACCTCCAACCATGAGCTTAGCACCATCTGCTTTACCCTCCATGAAACCTTACAGAGCAAAGCTACCCCTCTCTATCATGACTCTTCTCATCTGCAGCTTTGCATTCGTTGCTCTCTTTTATACAGAGAGAATTAGCCCGCTTTCTTCCAACTCCATTTTCAAGATCAAATCCTGTTCTAAAAAAGATGCTTTCGCAAAATCTACCAAACGTATGTATACATTCTTTTCCTATTTCAATCTAATTAGCAATATATATGTATATATATGATTTTAATGATGAATATTGGTTAGTTGTCATTCTCTCACAAAAGATTATTAAAAACTTGCAGAGGATAACATGGAAAACTCCAAAGTAGTAGACGATAGGTTCGATTTTGACCCTGAAGAGTGCAATGTTGCTAATGGGAAGTGGGTCTTTAATAGGTCCATTAAGCCTCTGTACTCAGACAGAAGTTGTCCTTATCTAGATAGGCAAGTTGCTTGTGTCAAAAATGGAAGGCAAGATTCTGATTACCGTCACTGGGAATGGCAGCCAGAGGACTGCACCTTACCAAGGTTTTGATACAAATGCATGTTCTAAAATAGTATAGGTGTATATATATGTATAAATATTTATCAAACAGTTCCATGCAATATACGTTTCATATGCAGATTTAATCTAGAAATTGCTTTTTAGAGGGAAATTACTACAGTACAAGCGTATGTGTAAAGTATTTATCAAAAAGTTGCATGTAATGTATGTTTCTATGCAGATTTAATCCAGAAGTTGCTTTGAAGAAACTTAGGGGGAAGAGACTAATGTTTGTGGGTGATTCGCTACAAAGAGGTCAATGGCAATCTTTTGTTTGTTTAGTTGAATTCATTATACCTAAAGAAGGGAAATCTATGAAAAGAGGACGCTTCCATTCAGTCTTCAAAGCCAAGGTATAAAGACTGAACTTCCGAATAACTTATTTAGGCAAAAGAGAGCTAGTTATACCTTACAACTTTACCTTGAAAAGACTTGTTGAATTACCAAGAGAGCTAATTGTTTAATATTTTAGAGTAGTAATTACCAAAACATTGTGTTATCGAATTGCTAAAATATATCCTATGGTCCCTAACATTATCCTGTTATTTATTTAGTACTGATTACTATACAAGTTACTAATAAATTACTGCAAAGTGTATGCAATATTAGTAAATTACCATGTCTCTAAAACTAGCATACCGGTGATTTTTGTGCTCATCATTCTTTGCTGTGCCTCCTGTAGAAAACAATATAACACACAGTAAGATTTACTACAAAGAAAGTTAATTCACAAAATGGAATGCAAAAATATAACAGCATAAATAAGAGAAATAAATAAACTAGAATTAGTGATCAATCATCATCATCATCATCTTCTTCTTCCTCAGGAATACAATACGAGTATTGAATTTTACTGGGCTCCATTTCTAGTGGAATCAAATTCTGATCAACCCATAATAGCAGATCCAAAGAAGAGAATATTGAAAGTGGATTCAGTAGCCAGGCATGCCAAAAACTGGATAGGAGTGGATATTCTTATCTTCAATACTTATGTCTGGTGGATGAGTGGCCTTAGAATCAACTCACTGTAAGTTCCCTATTCTAATACTTCAAACAAAACACATCTTCACTTGTATATATAATTAAGGATTAATCGGTAACAATTATTTAAAATTAAGAGCAGATGGGGTTCTTTTGCAAATGGGAACGAAGGGTTCGAGGAACTAGATACACCTGTAGCTTATAGAATAGGATTGAAGACGTGGGCCAACTGGGTCGACTCAACTATAAATCCCAACAAAACCAGAGTCTTGTTCACTACCATGTCCCCTACACACACAAGGTTCATCTCTCTCTCTCTCTCTCTCATTATTCTCATTTTCTCAGAGGAAAAAACACAAACAGTTGGTGGGCAACCATTAGTAACTCAACTTTGGTACCAAATTGCAGAAGCCAGGATTGGGGGAACAAGGAAGGAATCAAATGTTTCAATGAAACAATACCAGTGATGAAGAAGAAGCACTGGGGAAGCGGTTCAAATAAGCAAATGATGAGCGTAGTGGCAAGTGTAGTTGGGAAGATGAAAGTTCCCGTTACGTTTATCAACATAACACAGATTTCAGAGTACCGAATTGATGCTCACACATCGGTTTATACAGAGACTGGGGGAGAACTGTTGACGGAAGAGCAAAAGAATGATCCATTGAGGCATGCAGATTGTATTCATTGGTGTTTGCCGGGAGTACCAGACACCTGGAACCAGATATTCTTTGCTCATTTGTAGCCATCAAGAAAAACAATCCAACTCCGTCATCAATTTTTTTGGAGAAAACTCTGTCATCAACTATACATAGTTTTGTTTTTGTTTTCGTTTCTGTTTTTTGTTTTTTTTTTATTGCAAGGTAATTTTTTTTTTTGGTTCATTTTATATATGTAAACTTGACTTGAAATCATAAAGCAAAAAAAGAAATTCATTTGTTAACAATTTTTTCAAATATTTATTGCTTTATTTTATAAAATAAGAGTTAAAATGTCAATTAAATAGGGTGTATATATATAAAGCAAAGACAAGGACAAAATTGAATTGGGTTCAAATAAGTAAATTTGGATTTTTAGATCAAACTATTGGAATAATCAGAAGATAATACTGAGTTCTTGTTGAATTAGTTATAGATAAATTGATATGTAGGAATTCAAATTAATATAATTGTAGTTAATTACAATGTAATTAAATGATTGATATGCTCATTTTTTTATAAAAGATTATAAATTTAAATTAGATTGTATCCTTATGTATCTTTTTGTTTGAAATTATTTTAATTGTATTAAGATTAATATTTATATATGTGAAGGCCCAAAACTTTAAGAAAATAAATATATATTGTAATGGCAGAAGTGATTAAGAGTTTAAAGTTTATATTTCTTACACAGTAAATCACGATATCCAATAGGGTTTAGGGAGTTCAAATAACTTAAATAAAAAAATATAACTAAAAATCTTATGGTTTAACTTTCGCTAGACAACTGTGATGGAATGCGGGAGCCAACTTTTACTCACAACCTTCTTGCAGTTCACGATCTAAATTTTAGTTTTCTTAATTTGAAATTGTTAAATATGGGTGATGAGCTACATTAGTTCAATAAGAATATCAATGTTTAACACTGATATGAAAAATCAAAAGTTAGTAAAAAATCTTAAAACAACCAATGAAGTTATTATCTTTTTTTAATAAATTTATTTAACATAAACTTTATTTTTATACTCATCTTTATGAATTTTCAAAGTCGATATATGAAAATAATAATCAGGATAACACTTTATTACACATTTAAACGAACAACAATAATAAACTTACTTTCTTACTAACTTCCTAATACCTTTGGGGGTCTATAAGAGTTCTCCTTACACATGGACCTAATATCTAATTTTTCAATTAATTGGTCGTCCCATACCCTATCCGATAATGGACACCAAATATACCACCGCCTTAATATCATGTCCGGTATGAGGTGACCTAATACTTCTCAACCCCTTCTGGTATGGGACTTCTCAGCTCCGTCCGATTGATGTAATATCCACAGTAGGGTTTGCCCTATGTACCGGGTCCGTACACACCTTTTCATGATACCTGGTAAGTCCTTTTCTTATACGCATATTTATACCATCAACCAACCACCAATTACACACAAATATTTAATATTTGTAGATCTATGGAACGTCATCTAAACAGATAATAGGAATTGACACTATAACAATTAAGGAAAACGTAAGTAGGGCCTTTATTTCAATCAATCAACAAATGAGAAAAATAGTTAAGCAATCAATAACGGGAGGATAATAAATCTCAAAATAAAAGTACACGCGGCAAGCAAACAAATATATCATAGCAATAGATAAATAGTAAAAGTAAAATAAATAATTTGTACTGACCGATTACCGGCTCCATTGGTGATTTGTATTTAATCAATTAGGGATTTCTAATATTTATAAATTATACCATTATTAATTATTAAAATTTAATTTACCATAATGAAAAAAAGGTAGAGAATTCTTACCCTAAGTCAGTGTTCAAGACATTGTTTTTTTCACTGCGTTTTTTGGCTGTTCTCAAGTTTTTTGAATTTTTTCTGAAATAAAAAACACTCGTTATGTAATCCAAAATTCTCCCAAAACACAAAAATTAGCATTTTTAGATTTTTTTTCAGCCGATTTAGGGTTCTGGCACGCCGCCGCCACTACTATGCTTCAACGCCGGCTCCATCGCCCACGGTGGCGTCTCTTCTCGACCTAGTCATTTTCGGTAAGTTTTGGCCGATTTAAATTGATTTTGCATGAAAACCTACAAAAAACGGGGTTAGGCAGCCCCTATCAGCTAGAAAAGGGAAAAACTGAGGCCTTACAAGTGGAGGAGTTTCCAATGCAGCGGCTCCATCATTCCTCTCTCGCGGTTGGGGCTTCTCTTCGGCGAACCTACACCAGAAGGAGATGAGCAACACAAAGGTCAAAGAACCGAAGGAAACGAGAAACGAGAAAGGGCTTATCAGAGGGGTTTTGGGCCACAACCGCGGTGGCTTGGACGAGCTCTGCTCACGATTTTCGGCTTACCCTTTGGTCTTTTGGCTTCGATATAAGTGTGGGATGTTTGAAATTCAATTTCAATTAGAAGGGGGGAAAAATTTTACCTTTTCGGCGTCGGCAGTGCCTGCAATACAGCGGCGCCAGCAATCGGTTTTCTTTTTGACTGCTCCTCTTTTTCTTATTAAGTGAGCTCAGGTGCGGCTAAGGTTAAGATTTTAGGGATACGATGCTTTTATACCTTCTCTGCATTGATCTGGGGTATCTGTGCAGGGACACGTGGCCTACTCTCCACCGTTGGATCGCTCTCATTTGGAGAATTAATTTGGACCGCATGATCTGATCAAATCTAGTCATTTGATTGCATCTGAAGTGAAAATGGATCTAGGTCGTCCGTGCGTAGGGGAGGCAATCTAGACCGTTGGATCCGCTGACACGCAGATCACCCGTATGGCTTCCTGCGTGGATGCGTATCCACGTGTCTGTCAAACGGCGCACGAAGACTGGTCACGTTGCTGATGTGAAGGTCCACGTGGCTAAAGTTTTATAAATTTTATTTTTACCCTAGTTTTTCAGATTTCTTTTTAAATAGGTCATCCATTATTTCTATTTTGACTCTGATTTTTGAAAAGATTTTCAAATGCATTCAGAATACAATTTTCTTCAAAAAATTCAACAAAAATTAAAATTAAATATTTTTAATTTATTTTTTTATTATTATTAAATTATCTTAGACTAAATTTTTAGGCTCGGGCATTACAACTCTCTCCCCCTTAAGAAAAAATTTGGTCCCTCAAATTTGTCGCTCTCTCACTAGTCAAACAGTTGGGGGGTACTAGGCCCTGAAATCTGATTCTAGCTCCCAAGTGGTCTCGTCGTTCGAGTGATTCTGCCATAAGACATTGACGAATGAAATTTCTCTATTGCGAAACACTCTATTCTTCCGGTCTAAAATACCTACTGGTACCTCATCGTATAATAGATCCTCCTGGAGTGGAAGTGACTCATAAGATAAGATATGTGAGGGGTCCGGGTTGTACTTGTGTAATATAGACACATGGAATACATTATGGACTCTAGATAGCTCTAGAGATAGTTTTAGTCTATAGGCGGATGTACCAACCCTGTCCAATATCTCAAACGGTTCGAAGAATTGGGGGGTTTAACTCTCCCTTCTTTTTAAACATGTTGATACCCTTAAAAATGGTGACCTTAAGGAACACTCGATCTCCCTTCTTAAATTCTAAATCTCTCATTCGAGTGTCCGCATAGCTCTTCTGCCTACTCTGAGCTATCTAGATGTTCTTCTTTATTTTAACTATCTTCGCTGTAGTCTCATCTATAAAGTTTGGACCAATCAATTTTCTATCACCCATCTCTTCTCAATAGATCGACGATCTACAAGGTTAGCTGTACAATACCTCATACGGAGTTATATCGATACTTACTTGATAACTGTTATTGTATGCGAACTCTGGTAGATGATCGTTCCCATGTTCTCTGAAGTCTAGAACACAAGCCCTGAGCATATCCTCCAGTATACGAATGGTTAGTTCTTATTGTCAATCTATTTAAGGGTGGAATGCTGTGCTAAGGGATAGTTTCGTTTCCATTGCTTGTTGAAAACTTGACCAAAATCGAGAGGTAAACTTGGGGTCCCTGTCTAATACCATTATCACCGTAACTCTATGTAGTTTGACTATCTCTCGGATATAAATTCTTGCTAGATTGTCTAAGGGATCGGCCATTCTAATGGCTAAGAAGTGAGAGAACTTAATAAGTTGGTCAATAATTACCTAAATTGCATCATGCCCTGAGCATGTCTTAGGCAACCTTGTTATAAAATCCATAGTGATATGTTCCCATTTCCACTGTAGAATTGGTAATAGCTGAAGTAGTCTACCTGAGCATTGATGTTCTACCTTAACCTGCTGACATACAAAGCACTTGGAGATGAAATCGATAATGTTTCTTTTCATCCTGCTCCACCAGAATCGAGGTCGCATGCTTTGATACATCTTAATAATTTCGGGATGCATGGTGAATTTTAAACTATGAGCCTCTGTCATGATAATCCTTTTTGGTTCTCTGTCATTTGGAACACACTCTATCCTAGGACCTAAGCAACCCATTGACAGAGACTTAGAATTCTAGATTTACGTCTTGTTTTGTATCTTTTCTAAGAGTTGCTAGAGTGGAATCAGTTATTTGAGCTTCTTTTATTCTCTGAACCAATTCGGGTTGAACAACTGAATAGGCTAGAGATGTGACCTTTTTTAAATCCTAAAGTTGTCTTTATTGCGCAGCCTTCATTACCTTACATTCAGAAACTATTATGTGAGCCAATATGCCTGCACTTTTCCTGCTGAGTGTGTCAGCTACCACATTTCCCTTGCCTAAGTGGTATAAGATCTTATAGTCGTAGTTCTTGAGGAGCTTCATCCAATGCCTCTTATACATGTTGAGATCCTTCTGAGTAAATATATGCTTTAAGCTCTTATGATGTATATAAATCTCAAAAATGTCCCCATACAAGTAGTGGTGCCAAATCTTCAAGGCATGGATACTAGCGGCAAGTTCCAAATCGTAGCTGGGGTAATTCCTTTCATGACTTTTCAACTGTCTGCACCTATTGGCTATGACATTTTCGTGCTGTATCAGAATACAGCGCAACCCTAGGTAGAAAGCATCACTGTACATTGTATATCCACCTATCCCACTCGGCAGAACTGAAACTGGCACGGTAATCAATCACTCCTTGAGTTCTGTAAAGCTTCTTTCACAGTCATCATTCCACTCAAACTTGACATTTTTCTTTATAAG